CGTCTATATTTAATACTTTATGTATATGTCCAAACATTCGATATGATAGGATGCAAAATTTGCAGGAGATCTAAACCGGGCCTTAGTTTATTGGGAAAATTGTAACAATGCCATTATAATTTTGTAAAATTGCCGATAAGCACGTTGTACGAATGGTAGGAGCTGGCTTTGAATGATATCTTATAAAATAATGATCTAAGATACAAATGTAAAACACAAATAATTTGAATCACAACGATGGTAGCATCTGGACCTGCATATTTTTTTTAGGAATGTGATTAATCATACGAAAACTTACATGTTTAGTTGCCAGCCACACTTTACCACAACTAACGTTAGATAAATTATGACAGCCACAAAAGTGTGGTGGATAAATTGCTAGCCAAAAAGTTTAAAAAAATAAATCTATGGCATATGAAATATATTATTTAAAAAGTATGACAAGTCACAACTGTGATCATAAAATGTGGTCATCACATCAGCAGAAGCAGTACAGGGGACGGCAGGAGGGCCAATTGACCGCAGATAATCTTTGTGAGCTGCTAGCTGCGCCGTCCGTCCGTCCGTCCAAAAGGTTGACGGCGCGGCGGCGGCCGGCAGCACGCGCCGCGGCGGCGCTGGCCCCTGGCCGGCCACACCTACCTACCTACCTTTTCTTTCTGCAATTTATACTCCTACATGTATTTTGGACCACCGTCCTAATGGCCTAAACTAAACAGAAAGTAGCTAGCTAAAGATGGTATCACCGACTATACCACATTTTGGTTGTTATATATTCTCTTCTCATCTAACACACACCCACGCCTGCATGTATTCATGCCATGTTTTTTTTGGATTTCTTTTTTCTCTCGGTGAAATCTACCAAGAATAATCTTGTAGAATTGGGCATTTTCAAATTTCTATTCTTTGTTATCCGTACAAACTTATCTAGAAAATCCTGCTATTAATCACATGATGATATTTCTCTACTTCTTTAAAAGCGTCCTCCTTATGTTCCCTTTCCTTCGTACTGATCCCTCCGTCCCAAAATATGAACATTTTTGGACTTTGGCACGGTCTCCGAGATATTACTTTGACCAACAATATCAATATAAAAGTAAGATGTTTTAAATAAAAAAGTTAAATATTATGATAGTTTGTTTAATGATAAATCTAGTAACATCAATTTTACATGATTGATCTTTTTTATTTTTTGTTATTAATAGTAAATGTTGAAAATATTTGACTTGCCACTATGCTAAAAATGATTATATTTTGGGACGGAGGAAGTATGTGCATAGCCACAGTAAAATTTAGTGATTTATTCTTAGTGATCCAAAGTTTTACACAAAGCCCCCCCTACGTTTACACAGAACTCCCCATATTTTGCAAGAAAAATAACCTGGTACGACCAACTTAACTTTATTTGGTATTAAAAAAACATAAATTTATTGGTGAACTAGAAAAAAGTATCCGTGCGTTACAACGGGTGAATGCTATTTTAATCTTATTGTTGCTATACGGTTTAGTTATGATGAAATTCATTGTGAGAATTCGCTTGGATAGTTCTTTAGAAAATCATGAGCTACAATTAGGAGTCCAACTTTCATCTTAAGTTAGCATGCGAGTTTTTTAAAGAGATTTCTTATACGACTCTTTTTATTTCCAAAAGCAAACGGACTTAAAATCCGACTTACATACGGATATGTGTTTCCAAAAGCGAACAAACTGACAGACTCAAATACGGATGGTGTACCAAGAGACCAATAAAAACATCTTCAGTTTTTATAATAGTAGAGATTATTAGTCCACCCATCTAGTCAATTTCTAATTATATAGGCCTATACCGTTGTATAATATGGACATATTACAGGTTATTAGGAAAACTAGAGTTAGAAATGCAACATTTGCATAGTGCTGGAGGTATACCACGAAGGGCCTTCGGCCGGACCTGCCGAAACCAAAAACTCGGGCAACAGGCTCAGACCGGAGGCAGGCGGCGAAGGTTGAGAATAAAGCCATATGGGCGTAAGCCGTGGCTTGGGTTACGCCAGCTTCGCCAAGCGGAGTCCTTGCCAGAAGGCTGCACGGGTGTAGATGATGCGGCGAAAGCCTCGGCATGAAGGCACGGTTTCGCCAAAGTACGGAACCTCGTCGTCGGGAAGCCTAGCGGGCCGCTACGTCCTCAGGAAATTTTGGCAGATAGATGGGCCGAGCCATTTAAGTCCAGTAGGAGCCCATATGTGTAAAGGACACAGTGTGCCCTCAATAATATTCCTATCATAAGGGTAACAATGAAAATTCCCCTGTAAAATCTAAACCCTAATAGGGAGAACTTGTAATGGGGCTATAAATAGCCCCCTAGGGCCATATAATAGGGGGATTCCAAAAGTTTTTTTCACTAAGTAATACAACTGTTTCACTTTTCCAACAACGGTTGAAAAAAACCACGTCTTCGACGTGACGTGGTTGTCTATTCGACAACACATAGTTACATGATTAATGGAATTAAATTTATTAGAAGCGTGGAAATTTCATCTAACTCTCTCTCTCTCGCGGTAGAAACATTGACAAACCTTACATAGGACGCTAGATCAAGGAATCCTTGATCCAACGGCCACCAAGAAGAAGAGGAGCAAAGATGTAGGGGACCAGAGAGAGGTTTATGCAAAGGTGGTGGATGGAGGTTACTACTACAATGATTCCCTCCAAAGTCCAAAATGGCACCCAAGTTGAAGTTAGTCACTCACCACCTGCACACTGTTGTTGCTTGGATGCTGCCACCAGCTCATTATTGTTGACCTCTAGGGGCACTTGCTTTCCTAGATGCAGAAAGTGCATTCTTGTGCTCTCACAATTTTTTGCATGGATGGTTTCATGCTACAAGTAATTTTGCATGAAGTTTCAAGCAAGGTTTTGCATGATATCTAAGATAACTATTTTTTCCGCAAATTGTGCAATGTGCCTTTTTTTTTCCATGGGCTCACTTCACATTCTATTTTCAGTTGCCAACAGATGTTACAAATTTACAAAACAGGAAATAAGAAAAAGCAAAAGATAACTCCATTGAGAAAGCAACATCAATGTGATCATGGGAGGGAGTCGTAGATGCATAACTCTATTCACTGGGATTCAAATATTAATGTTATCATTTATTTTTGCAGAGGCCAAAGGTAAGCATCTTTTTGGTTTGTTGCTGCCCAAACCAACCCTACCAAACTTGGTAATACCCAAGTATAAATTTTGTTATTACCAAAATTTGATAATATTGATTATGTTTGATTGGTAGGCTTTACCAAAATATGATAGAGATTTTAAGAGCGAAAACCTTCGGGACGGCCAACTTTTAGTAAGATAGAAATGACAAGAACATGTTTGATTTGTTGCATTATCAAATCTTGGTAATACCAAAATGCTAATACCAAAATTTGGTACAGGAACAGAATGGTCATGAAAGTTGCAACAATCCAAACATGCCCTATTTCTTCTATTATCTTTGAAGGGCATTTACAATATAAAATGAGTGGTTTCATGTTTCAACATTAGATCCGAGCTACCACTATCAGTTGGGAGAGTGATCCTGTTGAGGGTGCGCGCACCCTATTAAATGCCTTGAAAAGTAGACTATTGTGCTGAGAAATATTAAACTCTCTCCATTTTATAATATATGACGTCGTTGATTTTTAATGTGACGTTTGATTATATGTTCTGTTTAAAAAGTTTATATAAATGCTATTTAATTTTTTATGTTTTATTTTATCATATAAAACTCTGACCTTTACTTATATTTTTAAAAATTTACGCTAAATTTTTAATAAGACGAATAGACAAACATTATACGAACAACCAACAATGTTATATATATAAAAAGCGGAGGTAGTATTTGAAAAGAGAGGAAGTATCACACAACATAAGACCACTTTCTACATAAAATTCTCCAACAAAACAACTCTCCATTGCTTGCTCCAAGAATCAATGCATTATGCATGCCACACCTGCATCCCTGCAATTGTTTACAGGTGCAACGCAATGCAAGGCACCGAAACAAACAAACAAACGAACCCAGAGCTAGCGATGAGTACTCTGATCCCAACTCACAAGAAAGGAAGAGAAAGGCAGCTTTCTTGAGCCAACAACCCGTCGTCCGTTGGCATGCCAACAACCACCAACTCGGGAGCCGGCCTCGCCCGCGCGCAAGAAGAAGAAGAGGAGGAAATCATCAAAGCCAAAGCAATGCAAAGCAAAGCAAAGCATATTTTGGTTTGGTTGTCACCTTTGCTTGCTTGCTTGGCCACTGTAACCTTTTCAGTGCTCTGCTGCCTCTGCCTCTGCCTGGCCTGCAGTTTCTCTGCACTGCATATTTGCATTTGCATTTGCATTTGCCCCTGAATCCTGATGACCCTGACGACACACGGATAGACAGACAGGGCAACCACAACAGCAATGTGCTCGCGGCCCAACGCAGGCAGGCACAGAGGCCATGAGAGAGAGTAGAAAGGAATACTAGCCGAATAGGAATAGTAGAGTACTACAGGTCTACAGCAGCGGCCAAAAGAGCAGGATCCTGCAAATCTTCTCCGCTGCACGCCTAATTATCCCCATCACCATCTCATTCTCACCCACCTATGGCCTTGTCGCTTGCTGTTCTGCCTCCATAATCATCATCATCTTCTTGCTAATACTACTCTATTACTAGCTGATGAGCTTGTTAATGGCACTTTAATTAGTCTAAAGCAAAACCACCACATTATTAGAGCAAGTTTAATAGTATAACCCACTACTTAGTCTAATTCATCTATAGCCGATCTAATAGTCAATTCATACAATAGTTGCTTACTATACTATTAATATATGGTCCCACCTATCATACATATATTGTGTCTTGGAGTCCGTGCTGCAGCTGGCTACAGATCTGTAGCCCACTGCTTTTCTTTCTCATTTTTATCTCATTAAAATATATTTATAGCTAGCTTATGCTATTTTAACTGCTCCATCTGCCACCTTTTGAGTGAGAGGAATATAGAGAAAGAGAGAGAGAGAGAATGCAGTAGGCAGCAGAAGCAAACACGAATCTCTCTCTATCAGGGCATGATAGGAGGAGTAGCAGGATAGGATGTCATGGGCGGCATCTCAGCTCAGCTCAGGCTCAGCTAGACGCTACTCGCATCGGAGCATCACATTGCCGTGTGCCGTTGCTCGCATTGCAGCTGCAGCTACTACTACCATTCCCACACCTTTTCTAGCTCTCTGTTCCACACCTCTCCCTCTTGCATTGCAGCCAAGACAGCAACCAGCAGCAGCAGCAGCTCAGCTAGCTAGTTTCTGCTTTCTTGATTTGTTCTTGGATTTGGGCGAGCTGTACATCTAGAGAGCGGGTGATGGGGGAGGCGTCGGAGAGCATGAAGAAGATCAGCAGAGGCCGTCTCGGCGGAAGCTGGATGGGGGAGCCAAGCGATCACCATCGCCATGGCGATGAACAGGAGGAGGAGGAGAAGACGCTGGAGCTCAGCCTTGGGCTCCCCGGAGGAGGATGGCGAGCGGCGTGCAGGGACAAGGGGACGACGACGAAGCACTCCATTGCAGCAGCTGCTGCTGCTGATGATGATGATGGTGACAAGAGCTCCATGCTCTCCCTGGGCTACTCCACACTCGTCTCCCACTCGCAAGGTACAGATAAAAGAAAAAGTTCACAACTCTGTAACTGATCTCGTGTTCTTGCGATGTCAGTTGCATGTTACTGTAATAGACATCTAGTTATACGTGTGTTTTTGTTAGTGTTTTGGTGTTGTGACATACCACAAAAATGTGCCTCATTTTCTGATGAAACTTAGTTAGATATATGGGTAATGCAGCGTTTGAGACCTGAGCAGAAATGTGTGTGCCATTGCTCTCAACTCTGAAGTAGGAGTGGTTTCTAAAATTTGGCTGAGGAGAATGAGCAGAAAAGAAACCTGAAAAATTAGTTGTTAAGAAGATTGTTGTTAAGAACTTTTTGTGTTTTTATTGGGGGGAGCTGATAGGTGCACTGAACTTTTAACAGTATGGTTTCAGAGGTTTAGTTGACTTGATATATACTTGTGGTAAACACTGCTCAAGAAAATACTTGTGGTAAGTGTGTTTACATAAGAAACCTAGGTAATATCATTGTTGTTTAATGAAAAATCCATTATCTGACAAAAAAAAAGAAGTATTGCATATGAGTAGAATATTGCATCATTGGTTCTTCTTCAATCTTGATTGCATGTGCCATGCTCAAAAGTCAAGAACAGCAGGGGAAAAAGTTCTCTGAAGCATGATATCACATCTTGTTTCTTCCTCCTTGTTCTTGTGCAGGCAAGGCAAACAAAAACAAGGGGTCCCCAGAGGAAGAAGAGGCACATCCACCACCAGCTACAGGGAATAATGCACTTGCATCCAACAATAATGGCTGCTTCCAGACAAGGTTGGGAATCATAAGGGCCTCTCCTCACATGTCAAAAATTCCACAGCACCATAATCTTTTGCTTTTTATGAGTGGGCAAACTCAACTATTGGATTGGTAGCTAGCTACTAGCTCCTGATTCTTTTATTCCTCATTTCCTCCTCATCTGCATGAATTGAAGAGGGAGATGCCTCCATCTCCTGCATGCCTGCTCCTCATTTATGACAAAAACCATTTTGCTTGTTTGCTTCTGCCTGCCTGCATGCTATCCATGGAGATAGATAGATAGATCTCCTACTCCATTTATGAGGGATGCAGTTGTCTTTGTCAACATGTAGTACTGTTTGTTGTTTACTTTCTAGTTTGTCCCTTCTGTTCATGACAGTTGTTGTTAGTTCACCTGACATACCTGGTTGCAGGATTATTTACTTAAGTATAATTTCAGGAAAATTGATCATATGCCACCCTTTAGATTGCATCCATTTATAAGCCACTCTTGTGTCACCATATATAGGCAAAGCTTTGGCATTAGCTAGCAATCATTTACTGGTGTTGTACACCATCAGGCACTAAGCTTCCTGATCTGAATGTAGACTACTACAATGTGTATGTTTTAATTTGAACATCCTTTTTCCAGAGAAATAGTTTCTGATGCATAGGTGATTTAGGATTTGTACAAAAAACGGAAATTGAAAGGTAATAACTATAGCTAGTCAGATACTCTATTTTGTAGTTTGATGTAGTTATTCTTTGCAAAATAATATATGATACCATTTCTGAACTTTTCAACCTTGAAAAATAGTAACTATAGCTAGTCAGATACTCTAGTTTTAGTTTGCTGTAGTTATTATTTGCAAAATAATACAGGAGATCATTTCTGAACCTTTTTCAACCTGACAACCTCGAAATGCAGATCTCCTAGTACTCCTGTTGTTGGTTGGCCTCCGGTTCGAACATTCAGAAGAAATCTGGCTACATCCAGCAAAGCATCTCTTGAACTGCAGAATGGAAAGAAGGCTGCAAAAGCAGAAGAGATCAAGAGAGCTCCATTCATAAAGATAAACATGGATGGTGTCCCTATTGGTAGAAAGATCGATCTGAATGCTTTTGATAGCTATGAGAAGCTTTCTTTAGCGGTTGACAAGCTATTCCGAGGCCTTCTTGCAGGTATATGAACCTCAACTCTGTTGTTTTGTAACACAATTAAATCATTCAATTGCGACTGCAGTTTATGATAGAGTATCTGAAGAGTTTTCCACTGATACTGAACCATGGCACTGCATAAATTATTTCCTTATTGTTCTTTCGAAAGTTCGCAAATTATTTCTTTGTTATTTTCAGTATTTTGAAATTTGAATGGCTGAGTTATCGGATTAGTATCTGATCCAATGTGTTCAATTTCCGTCGTTGTATTTAAGCCCAAAGAGACCCCCTCACTGCTGGAGCAAAGGACTGCCAGCAGGAAGATGTGGCAATATCTGGCTTGCTAGATGGAACTGGGGAGTACACTTTGGTTTATGAGGATTATGAAGGCGACAAGGTGCTTGTTGGAGATGTGCCATGGGGGTGAGTTTTTCGTTTTACCGTTGCATTTTCAGAGAGTAGTAAACAAAGTTACTACTTTTATTGGATGCTGATTATGCAAACAGCAATGCTTGAAAATGATATGCAGTCTATTCCCTTGTTTTTTTTAAAAAATTTATTGATTATCAAACTGGGAGAAAATAATTTTACCATCAAACTGGACCATATGCCTCCTAACTGATAGTCTGATACTGCAATTCATGCAGGATGTTTGTTTCTTCAGTTAAGAGACTGAGAGTACTGAAGACATCTGACCTCTCTTCATCTGTCAGTACCTCTTTCCACCTTAGTTCTATTACATCAAACTCTGTTATCTCCGCATTATTCTGAAATTTGTTCACGCCATGTAATCCATGCAGCTAATAACCTCTGGACGGAAAAGAACAGCTGCTGAGTGTTGACCTTCTTTTTTGGAGCTGCTTTGACACATTCAGTGACCTGCTGTGAAGAAGAATATGATCTTCTGAGCTTGTATCATCGTCTCTTTCTCTCAATGTCTTGCTGTGCTGATCTTTTGGGGTTTTCCTGTTCCTACTTAACCAACTTGCTTCCTTCTGTTTAAGACACTTGTGTGAAGTGAGTGCAATTTGACATGACCATCATGTAAATGTTCAGCTAAATGCTCTACATTTATGCAGTTTATTCTCTGGCAGATGATATTTGGAATGTTGCTTTGTTGCATGAGACCCATTTAATAGTTTTGTTCTCTGTTACTGGACATGAAATTGTTGTTGCTAGGAATCAATCTATCTATCTATTATATACTAAAAGTCCATTAAACTTTCTATAAACGTTCCTAAGCCGTCACGTGGCACTCCTACAAATGTTCCTACGTCACCACATGGCACAGTCTAATCTTAGCGTCGATTTTCACTTAAATTGGTGGACCCATTATTTTACACTATTAGATCAAATCTATTATTAAAAAATAATAACTTCCGCATGTTTATAATGTACCAGCGCTACTACTGTCCGTACGTATGAGTTTGTACGTTACAAATCCTACTGCTGTTCTCTCCGTACGTATACAAACGTACATGATTGTGAAAACAAAACGATAAAGTTTCCTGATCTTCGCTGGAAGAAAACAAATACATATACGTATACATAAGAAAGACAGAAAAAAACATACATACATAATAATCAACGGTCTTTTTAAAATATGATTTTCTACTATATAAGGATAAAATATATTACTTCACAAATATCAATATGTTTAGTTAAATTAAGATCTATAATAAATATTCAATCAATGTTCTTTTAAACCATCTTCTAAACCTATCTATCAAAAAAATTATTAGATCTATTTTTTTAAATAAAATCTTAAGTTACCTTGGGGCACGTCCTATAAAAAAGGGGATAATCCTTGGAAATTCTTAGAAAAAATAAAGCACCTTGTCATCAGCTTTCACTTAAATCATTTAGAAAAATTAGAAAAATAAAATCTCTACCTCCTCACTCTCACATCTACACAACAGTGTTGTCCCATCCCTATTGTTTTATCTATTTTTCTAAATAATGTTTGATGTGTTTTTAAAAATAAAGTACAAACGCGGGTGTTCACAACGCACACACTCAGCTCTATGAACTCACGCATGCACATACCCCTATGAGTACTTCCGAGAGACTAGGCTGACATATTTTGATATTGATGAAGTCACTGTGTACTTTTCGCTGTCGACGGGTATGTCACCTACTACTGAAAGAATTTGTCCTAGTCCTTTCGAGAGACTAGGCTGACATATTTTGAGATTGATAAAGTCACTATGCACTTCTCGCTGTCAACGGGTACGTCACCTACTACTTAAAAGAATTTGTCCAAGTCTAGGACATGAACCCAAGTGGGCAAATTCCATCACAATGAACCTAACCAGTTGAGCTACGTTTACTTCGCAATAATGTTGGATATTAAAACAACCATAATTTTTAAGCTACATTTCTGGAATACTCCTATGCCTTTTAAACTGGTGGAATCACTATTTAGAATAGTTAGATCTATCTTATATAAGAAAAAACATATGTGTATACATGGTACATCACATTTCAAAAATATTATTATTCAATTATATTTCGCTTTCATGTTAGCTTGCGTAGAACTTCTGACCCACTCCACATAAAATGTTCATAAATGGATCTCAAATTACATAAATCATATTAGGCTATATAAATCATATATTTAGTGGAGCTTCATGTCCCACCCAATTAATCCTCGAATAAACCATGATAATATATATGTAATTAAAAAAAGTAAAATACCTTAGTTTTATTTTACACTTACTTTTTATTGACATGTTTTCTTAAGAAAATAAGTATACCTTCTTTTCAAATGATGAAGAAGATTATAAATAATTGCTTATAGATATTACATAAATATGATATAATATAAAGCTAATAGGTTAGAAAATTATAAAGGAAATTAATGTCGACGAAAACAATTTATGGAGAAATCGTGGTAGATATTCACCGGTTAATATTTCGCTTTTATAAGTATCTCAAACTTAGCGTACGACGCATGCCCGCGCATTCGCGCGTGCTACCTTCCTAGTTATATACTAAAAGTCCATTAAACTTCCTATAAACGCTCTTAAGCCACCACGAGGCGCTCCTACAAATGCTCCTAGGCCGTCATGTGGCATAATATAATCTCATCGTCGATTTTCACTTAAATTGGTGGACCCATTATTTTATACCATTAGATTAGATCTTTACCTGCCGTTGATTTTCACTTAAATTGGTGGACCCATTATTTTATACCAATGAATTAGATCTACCTTTCTCCCGTACGTATGTACGGTTTGTCGGAAGGATTAGTAACTATGGTTGTTAGAAGTTGAGATTAATTAGCTGTCATATTGTGTTACTACTAATCATAGCTATATTTATTACATGCACGGCAATACACACACACACACACACACACACACACATATATATATATATATATATATATATATATGTAAGCTAGGAGATTTACAAGAAGATTATACATAGCTAATTAAATCAGTTTACATGGCTTTACCGTGATATTATGTAGCTAATTCGAACCAAGCAATCCAGTTAAATCGTCCAGCTTAAATAGGTGTAATTAAGATTACCTTTTTAAGTTATTATAATGACTTTAAAATTAAAAAGTTTTTTAAAAAACAAAATACATGATAATTGGTTTTTGACCTAAATGATTTAGAAAAAAATAGAAAAACAAAGTCCCCTCCACCTCACCCTCACCATTAGATACGCACAACACTTTCTGCCCCCTCCACTTCTCTCTATATTTTTTGAGTAGCTATGATAAAGAGAAACAACCATGGTTATTTTAAGCTACACATATCATATCTAATCTAACTGTTGCTCTATACATAATTAAACCAACAATTTAAAATTCAAAATAAATTAAAATCGATAATACATATTACCGTCAGAACAAAATCAATGATCTTTAAAATATAACTTTTTACCATATAAAAATATATTACTCCACAAATATGTGCAAATATAAACTAGATCTATAATATAAATAAAAAATATGAAATCAATTATCTCTAAACGTTCATCTTTTAAATTATTTTAAATTATATAATCAATTTGTGATCCCGTTGCATTTCTTTAATTAAATAAAATATTTGTGTCTTATAAAATTTATATTGCGGTTCTAAATTTATATAATAATTAATGTTATGATAATTTTAAATAATTTCATATTATATTTTAGGATATCAAATATCACTTGATAAATGTACTACGTAATTGCGAAAAAATAAAGCAATTTAGTTGTGTTTTTTCAAGTAGATCTGATTTAATTTTAATTTGTTTGGATTAAGCCAAGTGACACTCTAAAATCTATCCATTGATTTTCTTTTAAAATTGGTGGGTCCAATATTTTTAACTATTAGTTCGAATAAAAAAAAGTATGTGCTCCCACCTTCTCCACACCCTTCCGTACTCTCCTCATCTCCTCTTTCCTTTCCTACTCTCTTAAGAAAAAAATCTTCAAATTTTCTAAACCATTAGATCTATCTCAAAATTTACCAATTAAATTTGTAAACAATAAATAAATTGCCTGCGCATCTGCGCGGGCTACCTTCCTAGTTCAGAGAAATGTGGCCAAATTTGTTGCAAACGTTGATCAGGGGGCCTAAACTGAGGCTCCAACGTGTGTTGCAACTTGCAAATGGCTCATCCGATCAGTGGCCAAAGCTCAGATGTTTCATGATGCTTTTATATGCTTTAATTGGGTTAGTAATTTAATATAGCACATTCAATTGTTATAAAACAAATCAGAGAAGTGAGTTAAATTAGTTTCAATGGTTAATTGGACTCATGCCATTGTAATTTCTTCAATTTTGAAAAATACCATTACTATTCATCTATTTAAAGACATGCTGCTATAATTTGACCAAAATTAGAGATATGCCACTATGTACCCCTCCAATGCAATAAGAATTTACACCAAATTATCCCTTCTCCTTCCTTCACTTCCTTCTTCCTTCTCCCTCTCACTAATCTATGTCATCTCTTCCACCGGTCCAATCCGGTGATCCCAATCGAGTCCGCTGGCTGCCGCCCTCTCCACCTAGGCCCACTTCTCACCGTCCATCCCCATACCATAGAGCCGCGACCTCTCCATCACTAGCCATCCCATTGAGCTCGTGGTAGATAATCGCGGATCTCGTCGTCCTCTTGGATGACAGTGGTGGCGGCGGGGCTGCCCCGATGAAAACCTTGGTAACTGGGATGACCATGTCGAGGAGCGGTTTGTGGTAGCCCCTTCAAGCTCGAATCTTGCTGTCACCCTTTTTGGAGCTCCCCTGGCGGTGGTAGGGGAGAAAGCAAAGTAGAGGAGGACACGAGGGGGTGGTTCACCTTCAACATTAGTGTGTGGGTGGCGGAGGTTCTAGTGTAAGGAAGAAGGGGGTGAATGAAGGAGGGGTAATTTGGTTCAAAATTTTTTATAAGTGCATTGAAGGGGTACGTAGTGGTATATCTCTAATTTTAGTCAAATTGTAATGGCATTTTTAATAAGTGAATAGTAATGTCATTTTTTTTTATAACCGAAGAAGTTACAATGGCATGGATCCAATAGTTTCAATGCTTAAACATCGACATTATGTGAGAGAAAAAGATTCACGTTTCCAAATAACTGAACACTCTGTATTTGGTTAAATAATTCATGCATCTGAAAGATTATAAACTTATATTACATTCAGCTAGGAAAGACAATTTGCTAGAAAAAATTTACTAGAGATAAGTATAGGCATGAAGTATATTAACACCAAATAATAATAAGTTGAAACTCAACCTCATTTGAGAGTACTACTCACCAAAAAATTATCTTTTTTCTACTACCAAATAAAGTTGAGTTGGCCCTACTAGGTTATTTTTCTTACAAAATATGGGGGAGTTCTATACTTCTACTAGCACAGTGCTCGTGTGTTGTAACGGATGAAGTCAATTTTGATTTTACATACATACTCTGCACATGCAAGTTAGTGGATAAGGAGTCGAAAGCGATGACACATCAACCGAAAGCAACTCCACTAAATCGAACCTTGTATTGTGGTGCAACGAATTGACACTCACTACACTCATACCTATTTGTTTGTTGTTTTAAATCCAGTCGATTTATGATTATAAGAAAGATATTGATACCACCTTGAAATAAAATTGTTTTTTATTGACTCCTATATTTATGGCTACAATAAGTTATTTATTTTTTGTATGTCATGTAATATTGTCCATATCACGGATGCCCGCCGTCCTCCTCGTCATCGTCGTCGTTGTCACCGTCGTCGCTGCTGTCCTCATCCTCGTCCCCGTCCTTGTCGTGGGGCGTAGGGGGCTAGGGTTGGCTGGGTCTGCCCACTCCCTTCACCGTCGACGCGCGGGAGGGGGAGCTGAATCCGCTGCCCCCGTGCCTCTTCACCATCGGATCCGCTGCCACCGCTCATTCCCACCACCGGATCCGCCGTTGTCGGATCCGTGCGGGCGATGGCCGCCGCGCCTCCCCACCGTCGGATCCGCCACCACACGCCTCACCATCGTCGGATCCGTCACCGCTGTCGCATCCCTCCTCCGCCCTCTCCCACTGCCTGAGCCCTCCACCGCATCGGGAGGGAGGAGAGGGGAGAGGAGGAGTGGGGGAGAAGAGGAGGAAGCCGTCGTCGTCGCCCTTGCCCGCCGCCGGTAGGGTGGAGAGGAGTGGGGGTGGTGGGAGAGAGAGAGAGGACTAGAGAATAAACAAAAGTGAGAATCTTCAGGGGTATTTTTGCATGCGGGTAAGTTAAACACCACATTTTCACGTGTGGATATTTTAAATGGTCCATTTGGAAAAATTGATTCTTGCATACGGGTTTCTTAAGAAACCGTACGGGAAAATCGGGATCAATTTTTGCAGGCACGAACACTTATGGCCTGTCTACAATCTATTCGGGTGCTCATCTAGAAAAATCATTTAAAAGTAGTGAATGGAAAGATGACGTGATAAATCCAACCACATTTTTTTGCTCTTGGTTACACTTAATGCTATGTATTTGTTGGTGAATTAATGTTGTATATAAATAAATTAGTAAGTTGTAAATGTATAATAAAATTTCCTAAATATAAAGCATGGCTGGATTTAATTTTATTAAATTCTCCATGGTTAATTCTGCTCTTTGGAATTTTCTAGGATTTTTCAGAGCTCAACTACTAATTTTAATAATACAAAGAACATTTCAGTAATTATTTAAATAATAAATTAATCATTAAATGATCTTGTTTTAATGTTGTTAAATACTTAGAGTGTCCAAGTATGTTCAAGATTTTTCTTGAAATTATTTGAGCATTGGAAATATTTTTAACAATTCAAAGATTATTTCATTGGTTAATTTATTTGGAGAAGTAATTAAAAATCCTCTCTCTTTCTTGGGCCTAATCCACGAAGTTTACAGCGCCGAAAGTCCGTTTCATGTCCCTACTTCTTCTCCTCTCGGGCCAGCCTTTTTCCCCAAAGTCCACACCACGTCCCAGTCGCTACAGTGCTGTCTTCAACCTCTGGCCGGAGACTGAGCCCGACCCGGCGCCGCTTTCTCCTCCAAATCCTGGCTCCCCTTTCGATCTTTTCCAAAATTGGTTAAGGGGAAATATTTCTCTTATCCTCCTCTTCCGTTTTCCTCAAGAATCGGATCTTATCTTGAAGAAATCAACGCGGAATTGAGCTCGATTCGAGCTTATCTGTCCAAACCGAATCCTAGTTTTTGTGGACAAAGCGGAAGGGGACGGTGACGGACGAAAAAACGCGGGTCAAAGGATGCGACGAGAGGAATAATATGAATCTTTTAATTAGTTAAGATTAAAATTGAGTTTAAGATGTAAACGTAGTGGGGGCTTTGTGTAAAACTTCGGATCGCTACCAAATGTATCGACTCGAATCAAGGGGGCTTTGTGAAAATCGTATCAGAAGAGAAATCGTGGCCGTCGGATCATATGCGTTGCGAAGATCCCCCCTCTTCCGCGTCCGCGCCGGCGCCGCCTCCGCGCCGCGCACCCCTGAAACCTCCCCGCGGGACGCCGGCGCCTCTCCTCCTTCCCCCCACCCCTAGCCACGGATTCCATCGCCGCGGAGGACGAGGCGCGCTCATCGATCCGCCGCTCCCCGTCGACGACGAAGCGACAGCATCAAGGGTTCTAACCACCTCTTCCCCCGCCGTCGCCGTGAGCGCCTTTTTCTCTTCCTCCTTCTCCGGAAGAATTGGGCGGGGGATTTCGCTCTCATCACGAAGGTATCGAAATTTAGTTTACTACCGCCTGCTGTCTTTGCTTATTAATTGCCTTGATAATTCTGAATATTCTGATATATATATTCCCTGGATTCCCAATATACAGTAGTAAGCTTTAGCTGAAGTTTTCCTGTCTCCAATGCACAACATTTTCACCAAATTTTTTTAGCTAAATGTATATGTTATGCATGGTTGTATCTGGTTTAATGAACATGTGTTGGCAGCAGCAGAACAAGCACAGATATGGTAGTTTAAGGAGTCCTCTAAAAATAAAGGAAAAAACAACATCCTAGGAAGTAACTATCATTATACACAGTATGGTAGTTTAGAGGTGTAAAGTTTCTGGTTTTATTGTTTGAAAATGAAATCTAAATACTATCGATACCACTGGAACTGGAACATCATATGTTAACTATTTGGAACATCGATTATGAACACCTGGAGGTTCAACCATGGTCTAGAAGTGATAATAGTGGAAGTTTAGCTAACTGAAATAAACAATCTAAATACAAGGGCATGCATTTTTTTTCCTAGGCGCTCAAAACCGTACATGCATTTTTTTACAAAGCAAATAGATTTGAAGTTGCAGTCAAGTAGTATTTACTAGTTAGGTTATTAAGAATGTCCTGCACTCATCTTTAAGCTTGATTGTTGATCACAACACTTCCCTTCATTTTGAATGAAATATCTTGCTTTTATGCAACATTAGAAGAGAGCATCGTGCCATTTCCTTGCAAGCAGGATAATAAGTATCTACCGAAGCTTCGGTGAAAGCTCAACAAGATTGATGAGGACAAGGATTGAGCCATAGGAAAAGCCAAGGCGGCTAGGGCTGAGCAAATATGCCCTTAACTACCCATTATATATTTTCAGAATTTCTATTGTATTTTTATAGGGCCTGAATTGGATTGCAGAGTTTGGCCTAGAATTTAAGCACTACCAGCCCTAGGCATGTCTTGGCCCCTGGACGAGGATAAATCATATCATATCTACGGTGGATTTTCACCCACCACTTTACTCTCCATTATATATAATGATGATTCTTGCCGCATCATTGCCTCCTAGATTCTCCATTTCTTACCTCCTAATAAAGGCCAAAGCTCCTCACCTTTCGCCACTTGATTAATTGAAATGGCTACATCGATCCTACGTATATTAGCTAACTAATTGAGCACTATTCAACGTTCAAAGGCAGGTCGTGTTCTTGGACTCGTCCACTGATGGACAAAAGCAGATAAAAAAGCTGTAATCCATTGTAAGTTACATCACTGCCTTATCTTTGTGGATAAACAAATTGATTGCCACCATCCTGAGATATATAGCATAGATTTGATCACTCAGTTCGGTTGGTACCAAAAGGGACAACCTGTATATACACTCATCCATCTGTTTGGTAGCCATTTGCCTGAATAGTCCCCAGCTTCTGCGCACGCGTGCAGCCGGTTTATGAAAACGAATGGAGGCATATGCATACGTACTAAGATATGCCACTTTCCAGTGCCGGCCTGGCCGGTCGTTCGTAGAGTTCTCATTTGGAATTTCTAGCTTGTCAGGATGCATGATTCGCACAATTTCTAGCTTACAGAAGGATGCACAATTTGCGGCTATATTTACTCTGTTTTGTTGATTAAAAATAAGACATACAGTATTAGCTTTTGACGCAGTCTAACTACTTACACATTAAACATTAAACGGTTTCTTTTTTTAAAAAAAAAATACATTGACGGGGCTCTGTTATACTGTTAATCTATATACTCTGTTGACTGAGTTCTTTCCTGCTGAAATGGCTCATCAAGTTCAGCCCAAATCTTGGATTTCTCTTTTTAGTTTATGGCAGATTATATGCATATTTTTTAAAGTTCACCCAAGACTTTGTTTTGATCTTTTGATTCTTCTTGATGTGGCATGCACTTGGTCCTCCTTTGTTTGGTATTGCTTATGATAAAAAAGACTTTGTCGGACTTACACTTATATTCAAGCATACAATACTTGTTATATTCATAATGATCCACTCATGTTAGGTGCATTAGGCGCATGAAGTACTCCCTCCACCGGCAGCATCAAGTAATTTTTGACCGGAGTAACTAACTAAAGTAAATGGGGCTATGAAGAGTAGCCAATTAAGTTTGGAGAATAATTATTCTATGCATAGTCTAAGAGAAAATTTCCTTGCACATTACACCAATAAAGAAAAGGCCCAAATCCATTATCTGCCATGGGGTAAATCGTTTTATTTCCTCATGCAATCGGCATTACAAATCCGCAAGCAATTCTCCATTAAGCTTAGGAAAAGATTTTGATCTAGAGGACTGAAATAGGGTTGTTGCTCCCAGCACTGACAAATAAAGGCCTCACTTCCATGTGCATATCTGTCAAAATTTGTGTTATCCAAAAACTATTTCATGTGAGAATAATAATGCATGATAACCTAGCTAGGAACAAACATTTCTTTCCATTCTATCTAAAGTTGTTGGGTGCTAGTGGATTTGTGGTGGCAACATATAAAGGAAGAAAACTCAGTTGGGTGGACTCATTTATCCAAGCTTCATCGCATATAATGATTTTTGTGGATGGCATACAATGGATTCCGCTTATAGTTTAACTAGACCACCCTATATATGATACCTTTTTTTTCTGAAAAGAAAAAACAGCGGAGGATCGAATAGCCATGGTCAAATTATGCTTGCAGTTGCAGTCCACTGAGGCACATATTCTCCTTTGAAATTCCAAAATCTTTTGGGGACAAAATTCCATTGTGTACCATCCATGCAATTAGAAATGCAAGCCTGACCATGCTTGAAGCCACAGCTGAAACCATGCTGTTGCCTCCATTGGTGCGAACAAATCTTACAACCCCAGTTAACCTGTCGACAGGGCTACAAATAAACTAGCTTAATTATGTAGGATATATTCTTCTCTAAACAGGACCTAGTACGGAACTAGCTGTATTGGATCACTGCAGCTATAGGCGTCGATGTGTTTAGGATGGCGAAGTAGTACGGGCCGTTGGATTCTTCAACAGGCCTGATCTATGCCATGCACAAATCTTGAAGCACTTGAAGGGATAATATGTCTAGTGAGCCAGGAATCAGACACTGGCTGAGTTTATTTAGAGCATGTACAATAGCAGGCTATAAGCCAGATATAAATATATTTTAAAGAGATAAGAGAATAGAGAGAAGACTAGCGGGCTACAGATTTATAGCCAGCTGTAACACGGACACCAAGACGTAATGTGTGGATGACAGGTAGGACCAGGTATTAATAGTATAGTAAGCAATTATTGCATGAATTGGCTATGATATTGGCTATAGATGATTTGGAGATAGTAGTGGGCTATACTATTAAACTTGCTCTTAAGCAACTTTAATTTCCTAGTTTTCCGTGAGTATAGTGGTGCGTTTTGTGAAAACATTTTCTACATATAAGTTTCTTTAAATCAAATAAATCTTTTTTTAATTTTTAATGGTTAATTCATCCGGAGTTCCGCAGTAACCAAACATCACTGCCGAACTTGTTCTAAAAGTTTGTGGATTGCTGATTCATGCAAGTGTAGGCCCTGTGGGCGCACTGTTTACAGGGTTAGGCACAGTAATATCTTCTACTCGCAGATAAGAACTCGCAAAGCTACAGTAGTGGGTCACTTGTGAAATTAAAGAAGATGTGCAACTAACTCATGGTTGATGTACACTTTGCTGGATGTGTTTGAGAGGAGAAGAAAAGAGAAGATTGAGAATATACGTAAACAAGACGAGATGATGATCCATTAACTACATGGTAAATTGAGTATTGATTATTTTAAACCTGAAAAATAGAGTAATATGACATTTTAAAGTAACTTTTATATAGTGATGTGTGTGTAGGAGCTGAGCTAGCCTAGGATCGATCAGGCATTCAGGCCACTTGTTCGTGGATGTCATATTCGCTCGTTTCGGCGTGCTATGTGGGTTGTTCATAATCCAGATCGATGATTATATGCCTCGATGCCAAGCCACGCCTTCTCGATGCATAAAAATGAATTAGGTCGTATTAGAGATAGATTATTGATTGGATTATTATCGTAAATCTGCTTTATTATAGAATAATTCGAATATTTTAAAACATAGGAGTAATCATCAAGGGATACACCCGATTATACTGGCCAATTTTTCCATGCTTAATTATTTGTCTCGATCTATATTTCATCAATTTGAGCTACTTATTAAACTCCGTTTGCACAAGAGGCACCCTCACAATGTGTGTACGAGTTGTTGAAATGGATGGATGTATATCATATCCTACTTGAAAAGAACAATAAAAACACACCCTACGAATTGGAGCACGGTATAATTGTGGGGTTGCTTGACTTCATTTATCATTATTTAAATCATCATATTTTCAGCAGAAATTTGTGTGGCATACAAATTTGTCCTTCATATTTATTAACCTGCTGTCACTGGCAGAGAAACCATCTTTGGTCGGTCGACCCAAATTCACAATAGTCCTGGTTCCATTAAAAACTGGGACTAAAAATAATTTTTAGTCCCAGTTTATAAGAGGAAGATCTTTAGTCCCGGTTGATGTTATCGACATGTTGTGTGCATATATTTTTAATATATAATATTGTACTATACTAAAAATAAGGTGGTGGTTGCCCCCATCCCACCTACTACTTCCATTGCATATTTTACAAATTACTGAGCATTTTTTCAAAAATAAAAAGTAAAATTTGTTCAAGGCTTGGTTTGAAATAGATTATTAAGCGGATTATTGCTATGGATTATCTAGTGGATTATGGAGATAAATATTTTTTTAGTAAATAAATTTAACAAACAACTTAAAACAAGTGGTCCAAACAATTTAATAGAAGAAAGCTTTCTGAGAAAATGTATTTCTTTTAGCAAATAATTCATTTAATAGTAAATAATCTGAAAAAAACTAGCTAGTTTTTGTCAACAACTAAACTCTAATGGTTATTGATGAAATTGCGCGTGCGTGGTATTGAGTGCTAGCATTTGCAACCCAGTAATTTCTATGTACTCCCTTTATCTTAAAATATAATAATTTTGTGCTCTATGTATTTGGACACATTTGAATATGTTCTGATATATAGTTAGAAGTTGATAACTTGATATATCACTGTATGTCAAATACTTAGCCAACAGTTATTATATTTTTGACCGGAGACAGTAGATTTTTATGAGTGGGCCCTAATATTTACTTCTTGTCCGTGAACCACTAATCCTCTTATGTCCAGTCAAAATAATCGTCACTAGGCAATAATTTCATGATAAAATTGGTGCTGTGCGCATCATGATGTGTATATATTGGAAAGCTACCAACATGCATCCATAGTGTCAAAACACAAATATGTGCCGGTTGAGAAACCCCCTTAGCTACTGGTTTTCCCAACCAGCACTATGGAGACGGCACTGATATGAAAAGAAATAGGTGCTGCCTTTGAGGTTCCACGACCACGAGCATATCATCTAATCCATCACATATCCAATCCACAGATGGATTCATCCACATATCAATCCATTTATCCACAATACAAATTTTGAAACTCAAATTCATCCTAGATCTTGGTAATAAAAAATCCATAGATGGATTCATCCACAACACAAATTTTGACACTCAAATTCATCCCAGATCTTGGCAATAATAATAAAAAAGAATCCACACCTCTTCCACACCTCTCTGTCGTTGTCCCGCCATCGTCATCGTCGCACGGTCGTGTAGCCGCTGCCATAGTCGTCGTCTTCGAGCCGTTGCGTGTGCGCCACCTCCTGTCGTGTCGCCTCCCCTTGGTGAGCCCGTCGCCTGTTGCCGCCTACCCCTGGCGAGACCGCCGCCATCTCCATCCGCGAGCCCCGCCGCCCCTGCCGCCGTCTTCCCTCCCTCCGGATCTGGTGGAGGGGAGGGCTCCTCCACCTGCCGCCGCTGCCTTCCCTCGGCGAGACCACCGCCGCCTCCATCTGTGAGCTCCGTCGTGTCCGTTGCCGCCTCCCCTCCCGCCGGATCTGGTGGAGGGGAGGGCTCCTCCACCTGCCGTCGCCGCCTCCTCCCCGCGGCTAGACCGCCGCCTCACCTCAGCAAGCGCACCGCCGTGTCCCCTCCGCGAGCCCGCCGCAGAGTCGGTGGGAG